CTTGAAGGTTGAACTTGAAGGTTCAACTTGAAGTTTGAACTAGGGTTGAACTTGAAGGTTAAACTTGAAGTTTGAACTTGAAGGTTGAACTTGAAGTTTGAACTTGAAATTTGAACTTGAAGGTTGAACTTGAAGTTTGAACTTGAAGGATGAACTTGAAGGTTCAACTTGAAGTTTGAACTTGAAGGTTGAACTTGAAGTTAGAACTTGAAGTTTGAACTTGAAGGTTGAACTTGAAGTTTGAACTTGAAGGTTGAACTTGAAGTTTGAACTTGAAGGTTGAACTTGAAGGTTCAACTTGAAGTTTGAACTAGAAGGTTGAACTTGAAGTTGAAGGTTCAACTTGAAGTTTGAACTTGAAGGTTGAACTTGAAGTTTGAACTTGAAGTTTGAACTTGAAGGTTGAACTTAAAGGTTGAACTTGAAGTTTGAACTTGAAGGTTGAACTTGAAGGTCGAACTTGGAGTTTGAACTCGAAGGTTAAACTTGAAGGTTGAACTTGCAGTTTGAACTTGAGGTTGAACTTGAAGGTGTAACTTGAAGTTTGAACTTGAAGGTTCAACTTGAAGTTTGAACTTGAAGGTTTAACTTGAAGTTTGAACTTGAAGATTGAACTTGAAGTTTGAAGTTGAACGTTCAACTTGAAGTTTGAACTTGAAGTTTGAACTTGAAGGTTGAAGTCGAAGGTTCAACTTGAAGTTCGAACTTGAAGGTTGAACTTGAAGTTTGAACTTGAAGTTTGAACTCGAAAATTGAACTTGAAGGTTGAACTTGAAGGTTCAACTTGAAGTTTGAACTTGAAGGTTGAACTTGAAGTTTAAACTCGAAGGTTGAACTTGAAGTTTGAACTTGAAGTTTGAACTTGAAGGTTGAACTTGAAGTTTGAACTTGAAGGGTGAACTTGAAGGTTCAACTTGAAGTTTGAACTTAAGGTTGAACTTGAAGGTTTAACTTGAAGTTTGAACTTGAAGGTTGAACTCGAAGTTTGAACTTGAAGTTTAAACTTGAAGGTTCAACTTGAAGTTTGAACTTGAAGGTTGAACTTGAAGTTTGAACTTGAAGGTTCAACTTGAAGTTTGAACTAGAAGGTTGAACTTGATGGTTAAACTTGAAGTTTGAACTTGAAGGTTGAACTTGAAGTTTGAACTTGAAATTTGAACTTGAAGGTTGAACTTGAAGTTTGAACTTGAAGGATGAACTTGAAGGTTCAACTTGAAGTTTGAACTTGAAGGTTGAACTTGAAGTTTGAACTTGAAGTTTGAACTTGAAGGTTGAACTTGAAGTTTGAACTTGAAGTTTGAACTTGAAGGTTGAACTTGAAGTTTGAACTTGAAGGTTGAACTTGAAGTTTGAACTTGAAATTTGAACTTGAAGGTTCAACTTGAAGTTTGAACTAGAAGGTTGAACTTGAAGGTTCAACTTGAAGTTTGAACTTGAAGTTTGAACTTGAAGGTTGAACTTGAAGTTTGAACTTGAAGTTTGAACTTGAAGTTTGAACTTGAAGGTTGAACTTGAAGGTTGAACTTGAAGGTTCAACTTGAAGTTTGAACTTAAGGTTGAACTTGAAGTTTGAACTTGAAGGTTCAACTTGAAGTTTGAACTTGAAGGTTGAACTTGAAGTTTGAACTTGAAGGTTGAACTTGAAGGTTCAACTTGAAGTTTGAACTTGAAGGTTGAACTTGAAGTTTGGAAGGTTGAACTTGAAGGTTCAACTTGAAGTTTGAACTTGAAGGTTGAACTTGAAGTTTGAACTTGAAGTTTGAACTTGAAGGTCGAACTTGGAGTTTGAACTTGAAGGTTAAACTTGAAGGTTCAACTTGAAGTTTGAACTTGAGGTTGAACTTGAAGGTTCAACTTGAAGTTTGAACTTGAAGGTTCAACTTGAAGTTTGAACTTGAAGGTTTAACTTGAAGTTTGAACTTGAAGGTTGAACTTGAAGTTTGAACTTGAAGGTTGAACTTGAAGTTTCAACTTGAAGTTTGAACTTGTAGGTTGAACTTGAAGTTTGAACTTGAAGGTTGAACTTGAAGTTTGAACTTGAAGGATGAACTTGAAGGTTGAACTTGAAGTTTGAACTTGAAGTTTGAACTTGAAGTTTGAACTTGAAGGTTGAACTTGAAGGTTCAACTTGAAGTTTGAACTTGAAGGTTCAACTTGAAGTTTGAACTTGAAGGTTCAACTTGAAGTTTGAACTTGAAGGTTGAACTTGAAGTTTGAACTTGAAGTTTGAACTTGAAGGTTCAACTTGAAGTTTGAACTTGAAGGTTCAACTTGAAGTTTGAACTTGAAGGTTCAACTTGAAGTTTGAACTTGAAGGTTGAACTTGAAGTTTGAACTTGAAGTTTGAACTTGAAGGTTGAACTTGAAGTTTGAACTCGAAGTTTGAACTCGAAGGTTGAACTTGAAGTTTGAACTTGAAGGTTTAACTTGAAGGTTAATCTTGAAGGTTCAACTTGAAGTTCGAACTTGAAGTTTGAACTTGAAGGTTGAACTTGAAGTTTGAACTTGAAGGATGAACTTGAAGGTTGAACTTGAAGTTTGAACTTGAAGTTTGAACTTGAAGTTTGAACTTGAAGGTTGAACTTGAAGGTTCAACTTGAAGGTTGAACTTGAAGGTTCAACTTGAAGTTTGAACTTGAAGGTTCAACTTGAAGTTTGAACTTGAAGGTTCAACTTGAAGTTTGAACTTGAAGGTTCAACTTGAAGTTTGAACTCGAAGGATGAACTTGAAGTTTGAACTTGAAGGTTGAACTTGAAGTTTATATTGGAATATCTTGATAAATAATGGTTTGTTCACATTTTCATGAACAAATTCGTGTTTTTCAGACAAAAATACGTAGGTACCAAAAAAATTTTCGAAAAAAAAACATCGCATGATAAATGCAGTTTTACCAAAAAAATACCTATCCTCCTAGCACCCTATAGTGTTTGGTATACTTATCTATACAGGGTGAAATGACAATATACAAAGTGCCCAAGATCAGGTCAAATAGGCAAAAAATTGCGCAAATTAGGAATCAATTGAATAGATGTTGAGAAATCTCAAAGATGTAGTCTCTACTTCCGGAGATATTCGAAAAAAAAACAATTTGGCGATTTGGTTTCCTTTTTTTTCTGAAGTTATTTCAAAAGTTTCGAAAAAACCAAAAGGCATACTTCCCCATTGCCACTTTGTTACTTCTACAAAATGGGCTTCGCAAAATTTTCGTACAATGCTTTCTTTCGAAAAAACGATTACTGCCCAGCAACAATCAAATCTCTGGCCGCCTTCTGGCCCAGTATACAGTGTGACCCACTTCTAATGGAAACACCCCTGTATCTCACGTAATCGTTGGGTAAGGATCCTGAAATTTGCTGGAGCGAGAGATATACCGAAAATGCACTCTATGACCAAGTGGGGTCATCTTCAGTGATATACACTGCTCGCCAACAGCCTTGGAATCCACTCACTATTCATATTTGTCCTGGAAAATTTTCAGTTCTGAAAAATTTAATTTTGTCGCACTTTTTACGGAAGCACCCCTGTATGTTACGTAATTGACTTTATCTTTGGACTTTCCCTTCCTCCTGCAAATTTCAGAACCCTACCTCAATAATTACTCGAGATACGGGGGTGCTTCCATGAGAAGTGAGACAAAATTCAATTTTTCTGAACTGAACATTTTCTAGGAAAACTATGAATAGTTAGTGAATTGGGCGTCCTGATTCCGAATCCGAAGTGATTTTCAACCTATTTTGACACTTGACTTCATTTTCCGGAAATTGGGGTGGTTCCATGGCTGTTGGCGAGCAGTGTATATCACTGAAGAAGACCCCACTTGGTCATAGAGTGCATTTTTGGTATATCTCTCGCTCCAGCAAATGTCAGGATCCTTACCCAACGATTACGTATAAGATACAGGGGTGCTTTCATTAGAAGTGGGTCACACTGTATGATAGATCGGCAGATTGTTGCCATAGCCAAGCTGCACTGGTCAAACGTCGGCCCATTGTATGGCATAATATCATAATCGTTTGCCTATAATTCAGCCGGCACTGGGCCAATAGTGCTAATTCGTATTATGTTTTTGCCTACGTCATACAATCGTCTACCCATTATATGGCATATTGAAATCGTTTAAATATAATCTAGCCGGCACCGTGCCAATAAATAGAGTATACGATTATATTTCGGTTTCAATTGAAAAAACTAATTTTTAGGACTCAGGAATAGGGCAGTGGTTGAAGCGCTCGACTACTAATCAGAACATCGAAAGGGTGCCAGGTTCGAATCCCAGGAAGAGCAAAGAATTTTTATATGTAAAACGAGTGATAAATTATAATTTTCGTAGCCTTAGCCGGAGATGATTCCGTGCGACGATTCGCTATTCCATTACAATTAACAGTGCTGCTCCTAAGGTGGCGTATGGGGTTAGTTACAAAGCCTCCTCATAACACTAATGAGCTGAAGGAAAAAAATTAAGGGATCAAAATGAATAGGTACATGTAAAGGGGGTCAATCGAATGAACAGATCAATTTTATTTTCAAGGACACACTTCAAATTAGATGTTACTCTTAGAACCACCTAATTCAAGACAATAATTGAAATTTTCGAAATCTCCGCGTAATTGTGCTTTTCTCTCTACAGAAATTTATATAGAGGTGAGGAGCGGAAGAAAGGAGCAAACAATTCCTTTCATCAATCATAAAACTGACACGGTTTGGCTTGGTGCAACAACGACTGGTCATATTAATTCGACGTGATGAATAATGAATAGTGAAACATTTGCGATGTTTTTTTATTGTTTTTATCACATTGGTAATTAGGTATCTCGTATACGACGTTGCCTATGTGAGATTGTTTTATCGATTTGTTATAAGTACATTAAGTGAATCATGAAAATTTTACATTTGAGATGGACATATATCAAAATCTCAGTTTGCATACTCTCGATATCATACGGGGTGTCAACTATCTCAAATGAATGATAAGGATCATAAGGTAAAAAAAATCATGTTTCTCCAAAAGTAAAACAATTTGGTTTCAACAACTCAAGAATACACTGAACTATTTTTCACTCCTATTCAACTTTTCAACTGTTTCTACGAAATCGAAAACGTCTTTCGCCAAAATATCTGGTACTTCAAACGCAGCAAAGTGGCCTGCATCGTAGTCCTTGAGGTGCACCATATTCAGATGTCTATCTCTCAAGATTGTTTCTGGCGTGTACACCAAATCGTGGCGGAATCTGGCGCATCCACTAGGTATAGTGATCGGAATGCTAAAAGTCGAATTATCTCAAAATTTACATATTTCATTCCAAAGTATATTTTACCCTTCAATATTGATGGCTGTAGTGGCTTTGTTGAACGTTTCCGAGTAGATTCTCATAGATGTCGTTATGGATCTGGTCACCCAGTATATCATAATGTTGTCCAAGAGCTTGGGGATGGTGAACTTCTTATTTAGACCGCCATCTTCCAAGTCTTTCCAGGATGGGTTCGTCCAAGTGGTGAATTTTTCCAAAATGTAAGCTGCCAGACCAACTGGACTTTCACGCAAAGCAACTCCTAAAAAGAATCTCAAATCAAATACAGCAAAATTATTCATACAACTAAATATGTTTTTTTAGTTCGAAACTGATGGACAAATGAAGTAATCTACACTCTTTCGGAATCAAATATTCTGAAAGAGTTAGTACGATTTTGAAACTGTTTTTCCCTGTTGTTGGGAAATTCATCAGGAATAAGATCATATTTTTTTGCCTCTCAAATTTCGAAAACGATATAGCGAAATCTGGATCTGTCACTAAAAACATTATTTTCACAGACATTCCTTTAATAAGAAGAGAATTTGAGATTTGTTCGAGGGCATTATGTGATTGCTATATATACAAGGTGGAACGTTTCGAGTTTTTTTCCTAGCAGATCTAATGAGCTCACTCCACTTTGTTTTTGTCTGTTTCTTTAGCGACACAAAATGTTGATTTGTGAAATTGATACTAAAATAGGGATATTTCATTATCATTATTTCAGCGTAAACACAAATTGAATCGATCGCAATGGAAAAACTGTAATTTTTCGAAAAAAAAAAAAGGGTAGGCTTATATGGTCCCATAGCAGAAAAATCTCGACACAATGAGCCCCCAAAACACATCCCAATTCCTTTTTCTTGTCAGGTTTCACCCTTCTTGACCCTAGGAAACAACTATAGAATACAAAATCAAGTATAAAATCCCATTCCTGATGTTTTCCACAACAGTTCGACAGAATGAGACTAGTTTTTTTAATAAGATGAAATTTGTCCATTAGTTCGGTTAGATAGTTCAGCAAGAAATTGAAAAAAAACTTTCAGATGAAATGCTGATATGGATCCTCACCAATTGAATCAGGTTTAGTAGATTGTAAATGCAAATATCCCGATTCCATAAGCGTATTCGCATACAAATTGCTCAAAGGAAACACCAAATCTTCGTGCTCCTTGTCCACAATCCAAGAAGGGAAGAAACTGTAGAAGAACAGTTTGATATTCGGAACCAGAGTGGTGGCGACGCAAAAATTCGAGTGCACCCCAATGACTCTGTCAGGATGCAAAACCGACATGATAAGGACTATGACCGATCCCCAATCACCACCTTGAACGTAATATCTGTTGATCCCTATCCGCTCCATCAGATTATCCATAACAACGGCTATTTGCAGGGTCCCTAAGCCAGGTTTCACGGCTGCATCAGAAAATCCGTAACCTGAAATCATTAAATTGGTTGTGTCGGTGTTCCTCGAAACTGTTAGTAGCATTTCACCATGTTTGGCCTATATATGTCGCTCTCACCTGGTAGGGAAGGGACTATAACCTCAAAAACGAAGTCTCTGCCCTTCTGTGGGGTGGTCAACAGGGGTATCATATCGTAAAACTCCAAAACAGACCCTGGCCAACCGTGAAGCAGCAGAAGGGGTAGCACCCGCATCCCTTTAGTCGGCTTGGGCTTCACGTGGATGTAGTGAATGTTCAAACCTTGTACGTTTACTTTGAATTGGGGGAACTGATTGAGAAGAGCTTCTCGCTCTCTCCAATTGTATTTAGTTTTCCAAAACTCTGTGATGTTTTTGAGGAGGTCGGTGTTCATGCCGTAGTGCTGTTTAGCCCCTTCTAGTGGGGGTTGGAAGGGTAGGGTGGAGGCTAGTCGTCGTTCCAAGTCACGAAGAACCTACAGGCAAATGATCGTTGAACTTTAAATCCACTATAACTTCTTCAATTATTGTAACTCATAAATTGTAACTTGAAATTCAGAATAGTTGATTGTGATTCAGATTTCTAAATTGTGATTCAGATTAGTGGAATGTAATTCAGATTACTCAGAAAATGGTGTTGCGAGTGTTGTGCAGCCCTAATACATGCATACACCCTGACCTTCAACTTGTTGAACTGGGACTTTATTTCTGATCATATTTTTTCAACTCGGTTCAACTTTGGGGAGTATGATCCCTTAAAAAGAAGACGTTAGGACTGAGAGTACATACGAGTTGATTATAGTGTCTGAATTTCAGTTAATACAAGTCATGCTTCCTGAAATACAATGACCTGCTCTGAATAACAATACTTTTTTTCTACAAACGTCAAAAAAAGACAATGTTCGAGCATTGATAACAATTCGTAAAGTGACACTTTTTTGCAGTTTCTCACGTTACCACGACACCATCTGCGAAGCAGTGCGCGAAGTACATACTTCGCACATTGTATGTAAACTATATATGAGATTTTTGTATCTAAACTTTATGGTCCTCAATCGAGCAAACATCCAAGAAATCATTTATTTCTGAATGTTTAACATTAATCAAGGCCTTTTAGGCCAGTTCAACACGACATTTTTATATTTAGCTGAGCATATTACTACTTTAGAGCTATAATTCTTCACGTTTGTAGACAAAAATGTTTTTTGCAAATCTTTCTCGAAATACTTCGGTCATTCAATCATTTCCCGATCACCAATAAAGTTGCATTTTGCCGCATAGCCCTTGAGTCTATGGCCTGTTTTATCGAAAATATTCAAAAAAAAATGTAGTAGAATATTTGAATATAGAATCCTCAAGTTATTGAAAGACTTGAGCAGACCTAACGTGTTTTTACTCTCAATGTGGTACTTTAGGACTAATAATTCTGCTTACATTAATGGAGAAGAAGATATCGTAGGAAGAGGTCAACTGACATGAAAAGAAGAAGTATATTTTTATCAGTTCTACCAACTTTGACCTGACCTCAGATTTCAGTGGCGCGACTTGGTGAACAATAAATTATGTTAGCCCTCATTACCTCATCTGGTACGTTGATTTTGAAGGGTCTGATACTGGTGTCGACACTTTTCCCTGGTTGACCTGGTCCCCACCAGGTGTCTTCCATTTGTGGTACTGGAGGAACTTCCAGGAGGGGTTTCACCTTGATGAAAGTCACCACTCCCAACCCCAAAACTATGAGGGCGGTTACCGTGATTCCAGACACCATTTTTTTTTTTTTTTTTTTTTTCGGTGAACTTGACCACACTCTTGACCCACTGCTCGGAATTTTCGACTGACCAAATTCAATTTTATTGACGGCGTAACATTAATGATCATGCAATGATGTTTATCTTTTGTTTCTATCGTAATTATACTACCGAGTCATCGATCTGTATATGCGATGTTGACTATGTGGAATTATTTGACGGAGTTTTACCGCCATACAGCGTTAAGTCACTTGAGTATTCATTTTTTATAATTATTTTTATGCGAAGAATATATTATATGGAACATATAATTCTTTCTCCAAATGTCAAAAAAACAAGTTTGTGTGATTTTTTTGTTGTAAAACTCCATCATTTTGTGTTCACTCAATGTCAGTCAATTTTATTCACATTTGCTTAGCAACAAACTCGTCCTGCTCAGGCAAAGAAAGTACACACCTTGTCCTGTCTGTTAAGTGTCAGAAAAAAAACACTTTCTATGCCGCTTGAAGGAAATAGTTATTTATGTACCAAGGACAAAAATTGTCTATTATAGTCTAGCCTGCCAATTGATAGCCGAGGCCTCTTGCCGAGGCTAGCAATGCAATTATAATTTTTTTGGCGAGCTATGACGTCAAAAAATTATGTACAGGGTGGCCAACTAAGAATCCAGAGTTTGATACCTCTGTTGTCTTGAGAGATACAAAAAAAGTTTTGCATTCAAATTAAAGTGATAACCGAGATTCACATTTCAAAATTTCTTTGAAATACACAGGGTGTTCCGTAAGGTCACAGCACATCAACGCTATGTTTTTTTCATTGAAACACCCTATATTTTATTCCATTTTTGAATTCTCCCTGAAGATCTGATTTCAATGACGTATCATACTTGGGGTCTAGCAGTGAAAGTTACTGACATATATATAGGGTGTGCAAAATCGAGATTTTCCAAGTTCAGGATTTTTTTCTGTCGAAACTGTTCATTATTCGTCAACTTTTCACTCACTATCAATTGGTGTTCAATTGACATTTAATTGAAACAAATTATAAATTTTGATTTTTTGACCACCTTGTATCAATTTCAATTGAACACCAATTGATAGTGAGTGAAAAGTTGAGATAGGGACATGTTAACCGTTTTGACGAGTAATGAACAGTTTCGACAGAAAAAAATCCTGAACTTGGAAAATCTCGATTTTGCACACCCTATATGTCAGTTACTTTCACTGCTAGAACCTAAGTATGATGGGTCGTTGAAATCAGATCTTCAGGGAGAATTCAAAAATGAAATAAAATATAGGGTGTTCCAATGAAAAAAACATAGCTTTGATGTGCTGTGACCTTACGGAACACCCTGTGTATTTCAAAGACATTTTGAAATGTGAAGCTCGGTTATTACTTCAATTTTGATACATGACTTTTTTTCGTATCTCTCAAGACAGCAGAGAAATCGAACTATGGAGTCTTAGTTGGCCACCCTGTACTTTCAGTAAACAGAAAAGTAACATATTTCCAACAAAATAGGAACAAACAAAACAAATATTCTCATAAAAAAACAATCATATTTCTAATTCTCAATTCAAAAATACTCACAAGTATTACAAAATACAATTACGTATAGGTACTTATAAGATTTGAGTTTATAAAACGAATAGTAAAAATGACCAACAAAAATACACAACAAATAAAAACATTGTACATAAGAATTAAACTGCGTTATAACAGAGGTATATAAAAAATTCAATGTGATCTGAATCAGATAAAGTATTGTCCTTTTCTGGTTTATACATATCATTATAGTACCTGTGTAAACTTATTACTCATTTTGTAAAATTAATTCATACAGGGTGTGCCGAAATATCATGCAATTTATAAGTGTATGTGATTAACTAAAGATTAATAATAATATAGGTGATTATAATAATAAATAAGTGTCAAAATATTTTTCAGTTGGTTATGAAATGTTTCAGTAGATCAGTAGCTGTGTCAGTAGATCAATATGCGCAAATCAGGAGATCTATTGAAGATTCAGTAAAACTGGCAACCCTGTGGCGGATAAAGAGTGTCTGCGGACGAATAGTACTTGTCTTCGGAAATAGTCGGTATTTCATTCGGAAATCATAACGTAAAATGTGATTTTTTGTAGAAGTCGACAAAACAAATATTTTCTCAGATTCTATTTTTTTTTTTGTTCAATTCTCAAGAAGAATCTTCTTGTTAATCGAAAAAAACTTATTGGGAACATACATCTACTTATTACGAAAACAATATACACTCTTTTTTTTGTTATCACACAACACACTAAAGTTGCATTTTTGTCACCTTTTCAGAGAAGCAAAATGTATATTCGTGAACTAGGAATTAAAAAAATTTGCAATATGGCAACGTGGCATTTCGATATCATCCTTGTTTATTTTGGATTGCCGCCGGCACCAACGATAATGATAAAGAAATTTTTGTCGTATCACTGAGGGCAGAACCGTCGTAGTAATTAATTTGTGCCCACGGAAAAAAAACATGTACCTATATAGGTAGTGTTTAAAAAACCCTCAAATGATCAATCAAATATGCACCTTGATTTTCTCACAGTCGATAGGTTGAAGGGTTGAAGTATAAGAGAAAAATAATATACTTATACACATATTGTTTTACATAGGTACTTTGGAGAAAGGGGAGCGATCGGGAATAAAAGTAGAGTAAGAAACCCACAAAAAATCAAAAGCAATCAATTTTTCATCTTGATTTTCTCACACATACAAGAATGGTTGAAGTTGATGCAGTTCTAATAAGAAAATCTCTATGAATGTATGTATACCGCACGGCAGAAATATTTTATTGATGGTATATCGTCCCATAATATGTAAGTATATGTGTTATTGTAAGTTGTAAAAAGCATATACCGTATGAATGGAGAAGTTACGGCCATACAGTGCATATTTGTCTTACAAAACAGTTCGTTTGTTATATTCTTGTCCTTGACAGTTGGTATGTCAAACGCTGTTGACAGCGATTACGCGATCATGACATACTTGCAGAATATACGAAAACTGTGCGATTTGCTTACCGTGCGTAATGAACTACTTATATTGAGGCTGTATTTCGTGTGTTCTTGCCTATTTTTTATAGTGGCCGTAGGTAAACTTTATTACAAGCACAATATGATATGATCTAGTATCAGAATTAATAAAACTCTGGAATAATCTGCGAACATTTTCAATTTCTTGTGAAAAAGGGTGAGGATATCCTAGTACGGACCTGTGGATATCATACACCTATCGATAGTACCATTACATAATGCACTTATTTGGTTTTACTTATTGTCTGACCTTCAGATGATATGTGCTGATTCATTGAAAGAATATAATATTGATTATTCTATGTTACTTGGTTAAATTGATAAGTAAGACACACTGCAATCGTTGGTAATTAAGTTACAGTTGAGCAGTAACAATAAACGGGTACAACAAGATCTGTCAACATATTTCTTTCAAAAATTTGCGTTTGCCAGTTGAACAGTGTATAATCTCTGCCTGTGGTATAAAATCCAGATACACAGATAAACTCCTCAAAAAACAACTCTCCTCAAGCAGATTTCTATTATTTCAGAGATGAAGACTGAAAAACTTGGCTCAAACCCTGTAATATTACAGTTTTCTTTAATAAAGCTCACAGATTTTCTCAAAGATAGCAGAGATAATATAAGTTCTCTATACCATAGATTAACACACTATACAGTATATGGTTCTGTTCTCTAGTCAAGAGTTACCAACATTTGTAGACAAAGTAGGCTTTGACTCTTTGATTCATGGATATATGTTATAGATTTATAACAATTCAATATAGTAGTGGCACTTTCGAATTATGTGGTTTACAATTTTTGTTTCTCAGATAGGTATCATCCCAGTTTATAATGAAAACCATGTGGAAAAACACTAAACCATTTCCAGTTGTATTTCAGAAAGTGTCATTTGAATTTCAATTGATATTTTCTTTCTGAAATACATCTGGAAAAAGGTGTAGTGTCAGTTACACTGAAAGACAAGAATTCTTTCGAAAATCATAGGCATAGATTGATGTCCTTATAAACTATGTCAGATATGTATGTATCTATTGCACAATAACAGGATACTTCTTCAAATGCATATATATTTATTTATTTTATTTATTTACTTGAACAAATAACTTCCTGACAGAATAGGCTCTGGTATAAGGAAGTACATAATTATATACCTATAGGTAAACATATCTTCATTCAAAATATATCAACTGTAAATTGACAAATAGAGAATAATATTTGTCAAAAAAATGGCATGATTAATTTTACCCAGTTCGCTCAGAAATGATCAGTTTTTTTTACTTCATTTTTGAATATATTTCTGCAATTTTTTATATTGTCAGGTAGTTTATTGAATGAGTGAATCTTTTGTGCCCAATTATGGAGCTAGCGGCGTCAAGATGAAACAATAATAGTTATATTGTCTAGTCTCATGATTATGAATTTCAGAATTCCATATCAAAATAATATTCTACTGCAATTTTTTATTTATGATATTATATGATATTATATGATATTTTAAGAGTTTCAATTCTATATAATTCATCTAAAGAATACGTATTTGTTATTTCATACAATTGATTGATTGGCGTATCAAATGGGAGACGATACAATACTTTTAACGATTTTCTATGTAATGTTGATACTTTATTGAAATTATTTTGTTAACAATTCCTTTTTCTCTATGTTCTAAATTTGTTGGGCAAATTAGGCAGGATGAACAGGAATCCAATTCGAAATTACTGGGAAAAAATATATTTTTCATGTCAAAAAACAGTTCAACCATCATGCATAATATGAATCATTCTTTTATGGTTAGGCCCAATGAAACAATTGTATATCTTGTGTTAAACCAAATTTTTAATGGAACAATAAATTATATTATATAAAAACGCTTACAAGATGTATTAAAATATGAGGACCAAAATCAAAGGAGGCACTTTGGTCTATAATGTTCATTTGTTTCCACTATAACTTGTAAAAAATCTAGTATTTTCTCATATTCACCCAAATAATAACAAATAAATATACAGGGATGCGGACTATGGCAGAGCACACATTTGTACCATTTGATGGGTAAAATTCCTACAATTTTTAACAATGCATCAAGAGTACGATATAACTATTCTGCTCAAAATTTCAACTCGAATTCATCAAAACGTTCTGGTAATATATGATTTTGAGAAGTCGAGCGATCAAAAATAGTGAAACTTGCAAACTTTTTCATCTAGCACCAATTTTCAAAATTTATAACATCAAAACAAGAAACACTAGTTTTCCACAATCCAAAATAAAACATTTCATATATAAAATCATACAAATACAAAACAACTTACAAAACATCATTCAAAACCCTTGGTAAAACCGCAAAACAAAAAATAACTCATTCAATCTATACCTTAAAGTTATTCTTCATTAATATTTATTATCATTAATTTCATCAATCATACAAAATCAATATTGAAGGCTTCAATGCTTCTGATTATTATTTTGATTAGTATTTAAGAAAATTCTGTGATACACTAATGAATCGTTAAAAAAAAGATAGAAAAGAAGAAAAAACAACAAAAAAATTGTAAATAAATATATTAAAATTTGCTAACGACATTAAAGAAACACCAATATAAGTACAATCATTTTGTTGAAAGTGTAACTAAGGAAACGGTCGAAAAACAGATAACTTTAAAACATTGATATCCCTTGATAAATTTAAAAATATAAACATACAATGTTCAACTAATTGAAAAATATTATACAATGGTAGTTCTTGTGATATGTACCAGACAATAAACACTGAACGGTGCCTTTATCTATGAATGCTGTTAATCTTATGAACAGACAAAAGATAGGAGTCACTAAAAATTCAAATTGCACAACAAAATTGCAAGAAGCTTTTCAGTCTATAATTATCTTTGAAGACTCCCAAAATTCAATTTTTCCGAATATTTTGCCTGGTTCATAAGAAAACGCTCAAGCACTTGATGTAACAACAAAAATCTTCAATTATTTCGTCTTATTTTAATGGAAAAATTATTCAATATGTCAGCAATCATTCATTAAGATCAGACAATTTTTATTATTTGATTTGTCAATTTCGAAATATTTTTTAAAAAATTATGTACATTTTTGTGGTTCCTTACAGGTTTATTCTGGGAATTTCGGTAAAGAAAGCCTTATGAAAGACATTTTTTGTTAAATCTCAACAAAATTGTAAAGAAGAAAAAATTGTGTTTGCAATAGATTACACATCAATCACTTTCATAAACATTTTGTTCAAACAATTTGCTGCAATTCCGAACTAATCAAACACAAGTATATAATCTGGTCCACTGTAAAAGGTGTATAAAAGGACAACAATTTTATATTCCGTCGTGTTTTCAATTCATTGGCTGTCACTAGTGTGAACTCTGCCATATCCGTCAAACTAATAATAATCTTAACTAAATATTTGTTTTATTTTGTACACAGTTGGATGAGCAGGTTCGTATTTTTTCAACAAGATAAAAAATCATAATCGAAGAGATCGGCTAGGCCTTCCGTGGCATCCAAACTAAAATTGTATTCGGATTGCATTAACGGCTCTAAAGGTACAAGTTCGCTACTACAGAATAGAGGGTCCATAACTCCTAAAACAAAGAAACATTTTTAATTTTACACACAAATCTCAGTTTTAATCTTCTCCTGAAGATGCTAACATAGTTAGCGAAACACGTGTCGAGGCGTTAAAAAATCGGTTTGGTTAGTGGTAAAACAGTGTAGTGTACACAAATCTCAATTGACATTTATCACGTGGCTGGCTACATCGCTTCACATCTTGTACCTCGTAGTTAGACAGTGCAGAGCGCAGTTGCCAAGTCACCAACAGATATTTACCGAATGTTAGATCCTATAGCTGTCTTTCAATTCTGATTGGTCTATCAAAGTTGGTGTTTTCAATGTAGTAACCATGAATAGCAAAGCACAGTCTGTCAGTTTGGCAAGTTTGATTCAATGCTAAATAAGTCAACAATTCGCGAAAATCACGAACCAATTGTGTTTTAATGCTAAGGAATGTGCCATCTGACGGCATATATCACGTGATCATCAAGTGTGATTATTTGGTAGTAGTATTGAAGATTATAATTATTGTTCATTCAATTGTGTGACTGACTATTTCATGATTATTTGTTTATAGAACCGTATATGGTAGAAACATATCTTTCGAGTCGTTCTGGCAAAATTATTATTTTGACATATCACACTTGGCGTCAAAAATATTTCATTTTTGACAGAATGACAATGCAAGAAAATGAAGGTTCAAATCCCAATAGATGGCTCTATTATATGTCAAATCAACGTCAAATTTTCAACTGAGTATGAACAACAAAAACATTGCCGTATGCACTCATTGCAAATTGGTTATTTCCAAATCATTTTATTGCAAAATAGTGAATAATAAGTTGACTTCTTGAAATACATACAAGGTTTCCAGTATGGAAAAAATTACTTTTTGTGCAGAGAAATTGCCTTTTTGATGTGGACAATGGTGGTTCATCATTGATATCACACTACAATCCCACAGTTTTCAAACATATGGAATGATCGGAATGGTCCACTCAACACTTGCATGGACTGTAATGGAACCATTCAAGCAATCAGCTATTACAACAATATGGTATAGGTATGAAGAAATAATTGAATTCATCAAGAAATATCACTGGCTTTTATGAAGGAGATGGAATTCTAGTGAAGGGGTTGGGAAATAAGATATGGTTGGAGACGCTGCTCAGAATGAACAATATCATCGATTTACATAAACAAGGATCTCCAGCAATTGAGGACTTGAAGTTATTCTCAAGATCGAATCATTGCAACCAACATTTATACAATGATTCTTATTGTGCTTCAGAAAATGTATATCATTATAAGGTAGGTACTGGTTTCTTCATTGTAAACAATGAAAGTTCATACAATAATTCGAGTTTTTTCATTAGGGAGAGATGATAACTCAATTAGAAGTGGGTCACACTGTATATATATATAGTTTCCTCAAGCCATTGTTGACTCATTTAGCAATGAATTAAATTTGCCAATAACATTCATAGACGGCTGTGGACCCAACAGAAATGCCATGGAAACAAAACAGGCATTTTTTGATATCTTTGTCAGTTATTCAATAAAAATGGGGTATTATGTAAAAGAAAAATAGGAAATAGTAAAATTATATTATGAAAATATTGCGAAAATATCAGTAGTGCAGCAAGCATTTAGTCGAAAACGGCTCAAGGGAACATCAATCAACTATATAATATATTTGTGAACAGAAGAAAAAAATCTTTCTCAGCAGTTGAAAAGATACAGGGTGTTCCATTTGAAAAAACTGATTTGGACTATTTATTTCTATTTTGCGATTGGCATTTGTTTATTTGAGGAGTGCCAAAAGATAGTACAGATGAAACCCTACAATTTTCATATTCAAAGTTTCATTCCACCTCATATAGTTGAAGCTGTGGTAGGGATCAAATTAAGGAGACACCCAGTATGATAATTCCCAAATAGCTCAACTATAATTCACGACTTGGCAACGTGTTGGTCGAGTTTGGCCAACTTTTGACGAGATTAGCATTGACTGTTATTGTTGAATATCGTCGATGAAACCGCAAAACCAAGTAACTGCAAAAACCAAAATTTTCAGGAGACCCTAAAAACTTTATAATTTCGGGTTATCTGATCAGATTTGATAAAAAATAGTACCAAACCACCTGATTATTATTATTATCCTTACGTTTGTACATTGATCATTGAAAAAAGTCATTGTTTACGTTTGTCAGCGTCAGATACTTGGTTTTGACATCTGCTTCTGTGCGAAAGCAGCAACAATTATTCAGACAAGTAATTCGCAAAAACACGTAACTTCATTTTTCTGGACTTTCCGCTTAACAAATACTTGAGATGAATTCTCACATCCTGTGTTGAAATACCAATTGAAGTTCAAAATAAACAATTTCACATATCTGTTCTATAAAAAGTCACTCACCAATTAGCAGAGATTGATCTCTGTGAAGAGAAATTGAACACAAAATATCAGACGCGTGAATTACGTTGCCAGCTGTTAGATACTTGTTTTGGACGACCCCTTTCATTTTGTTTTTCAGATAAGGGGTTTTGTATTTATGGATTTCAAAATATTCACGGATTTTTACCAGTTGTGAGGTTTTGCATACGCATCCCCACCAATATGATAGACCGATTGCCGCCAGAATCCCATTTTCGAATTTTTGTCAGTTACTTGGTTTTGCGGTTTCGTCGACGATATGGAAAATTCAGTACCAGTTCAGTAGCCTATTACAAAATATAACAGTGCATTTTGTTGTTGTTGTGGAAGTCTCTCAACTGGTTGTGAATGGACATTTAGACCTGAAAAAAAATTAACAAAAGCACACCACAAGCCAGTTGTTAGCCGAGGGCACCTCAAAAAGTGAGCTGAATCCCATGGTGCTACGCAAGACAGCAGCCCACATGCAATTCAGCGCACCATCTGGGCATAAGCATCATAAGCAAAACGCAAATGTTAGAAAAATTTTCAATGTGTTAGATACAATAGAATAGATTTTGGTAGAAACTGCTTGGATAAATAGTTATTTTTCCACCACTAGCTATAGAACCTACCATTTTTCTAGTTATTTATGTACCAAGTGGGTAACATTCACCATCCACACTGAGAAAAAAGTTATGGCGATTCCATAATAAAAATCGAATTTCTCAGAATTTATGAACATTTTTGAACGTATTCAAACATTGATATCCAGGGTTTTTTGGGATGTAAAACACGAATATGAACACCTTTTCATTGTGGCCATTAGTGGGTGCTTACCAATGGACTTCTTATGGTTTAGAATGGCCATAACTTTTTTCTTAGTGTAGTATCTCATATTATTTGTTGAGGTTATAATGAGCTTATATCACAAAAAAATTCATTTCATAATTCGATAGAACTCAGCCAAACTAGCTCACCACCGCAAACCGTTTCTTGGTGTGAGCTCCCTACGTTTTATAAAAAATTATTGAAATTCCCGATTTTTCGGACCTCTGAAAACGAGGCGATGATGTGACGTCAAAACCCTAATACTGAAACAAGACTATTCCAGACAGAGATGACTGATAGATGATTTCTGACAGAGTGAATTAGCGCGAGATCACAGTTGAAAAAGTTAATATATCAGTTGCCTCAGTCTCCGTCGGGCGTTTGGTATTTTCTTTCAACTATGGCGAGATGAGGTTTCTACGTCAAGAGGGTCCGTTTTCAGAAGGTACTATTATTTATGTCCAAAAATAAAACATTCCAGTTAATTTTTAGATCGAAGTATATTGTCAATCATTATTTATGTATAAAAGGATCATAATAAACATGGTTTGAGTTAAAAGTTCTACTAAGGTGTACACGCCCATTTTATGAACATTTTCAAGCAAAAAAGATACACTTGTGAAAATTCGCTGAAGTAAGCCGATTTTGAGATATTTTGATGTTTAGTGTTTGATGCAGCACAGGAATAATGAAATTATTTGGAATAATAAAAGTTTGCTGTTATCTTCGTGGATGTAATCTGATCAGTAAATTAGCAGAGCAAAAATGGATTTTTCATAATACTTTCCCGGAGAGTACTTGTCAATTTCCCTTTTTATCTTCACCACCCTGTATCTCGGAAACGGAGCAATTTTAGACTGAGGTAAGTTGCTTCAAATCGGCTTATTTTGACTCCAGGAATATTGAGCTAACATTTTGTAACCTTTTAGGAAAATTTTGGACCGATTGTCACTATGAAAGCACTTCTTTTTAATTCTAATTAAAATCTAGTAGCCATCATGATTATGATCAACTGCTATTCCTGCGAATTTCGCCTCAGTACAGTGGGGATAATAATAATTAATAATAATAGTGTTCATAAAATGACGAAAACTGTATCTTGCTAGAAAAAAAAAACACACTTTACGCCTTGCAATGAAGTAAATAATGGTAGGTTATATAGCTAGTGGTGGAAAAAAATGTTCTCACAACTTCAGTTAGTTATGACAAGAAGTGTCAAAATTAAAACAAAACATTTAGATCATAAATAATTGAGTAGTAAAATCGAATTTCGCGGAAGCAAAGTTTGTGTCAGTGTCATTAAAATACATACATGATGAATACAAGTGCATTATATTATAATATTCTGTAAAATACTTTTGAAACATTGACCCTCACTATTATAAAACACTCCAATATGTAGTTAGTATCACAGTAAAAAAGCTCCAAGATCCCAAAAGCTCTCTGATATCAAGCAGTTTTAGCAACATTTTATTTACAAAATTTATTATTAATAAATATTTCCAGATACCAATTATTAAATGTTGAATAATTATCCGTCACATTGTACACAAGCTTTCAAATTTCATTTCAACTACCATACAGGTACCTCCAAATATACTGCATTCCTTTGATGCAATGCATTGTTTTGAAAAAATATTTTTGCGGTAAAATATTTGATTTCACTCAATATTTTTGGAGACACCCTGAATAGTTTGTTGAATAAATTCCACAATATCCACATTATATTTACAGGTAGGTAGTGAAATATAGACATTTTCCAATCTGTTGAATATCTTTGAAGCATCCAGTGAACGCATAGCTAGAACTCTGCCTGTGATGTGAATAGAAGAAAAACACAAGTCACAGATAGAGTTCCGGTACGCAGACACCATTGTTATTAGCAAAATTAGTGCAGAAATTTTCATCAATAAACCGATTTTTTTCAAATCTCACAGGAACGTTGAAAAATCACCCCTTCAAGTTCGGCCACATACTTGAATCAAACCCTGTATCAGCTGTTTCGTGAAACCATAGTCCATCACCCTCTAGGTATACAGGGTGTTCCTCAAAGACATGCTAATATTTGAGGGGTTGATTATTTGACTCATTTTAAGAAGAAAACTTCATATGAACGTATGTCCTGAACAGGGTTCGGAGTGATAATTATCATCGATAATTATCAAGATAATTATCAAGATAATTATCTTGATAATTATACCTTGATAAATATCTTGATAATTATGAAAATCCACATTAACTCTAGTTGTACTTTGTAACTTTGTATTATTAGCGTTTTCCACTGAACTGGCTTGGTTCAGTCTAAACTCCGCAATAGATTAGGCACCGAAAAAGCTGCCAAACCGTTCTTTTTATTTGAATATTTTATTCAAAACCCTGAAAATCGAAAGAATGGATAACTTCTCCAGTTCCTCAATCTGAGCTGCCTTCAACATCTACTTCCACAATAATTTCAGTGGAAAATGATTTGGATGAAGAAGACAACATACTATTAAGGGCATTATTAAGTAATTTAACAAAGACTTAATATAAACACTGATTTTAAAATAATAAATAATTTCCTTAACATGGTTAGAATGTGATACTATTATTTATTTTGTATTTTGTTTTTTGTTTAAGAAGTTTGGAATATTATTTTGTTTAACATATTATTATTTTAATTTTATACTACTAAGAAAAAGAAATTTTGAATTTATTTATTTTTTTATTTTATATTCAGTTTTATTCATTCATTTTTATTTTTGTAGTTTCAAATAATTATGAATTTGATATAAATGCCTTTCTTATTTTTGTACACAACATATTTGAACTGAAAAAATAATTTGTAAGTAAAAATATAAGGAAAATGAGTTGTCTGTCAGTATGGATAATTATCAGATAATTATCCGATAATTATCCGATAATTATCTGATAATTATCAAAAAAAAATAATTATCTTGATAATTACGAACCCTGGTCCTAAAAGTCTTAACTTTTGAGATACAGGGTGATGAAGTTTTGAAAAATATTCAGTTTTTTGATAATAACTGAGACAATATTGTATACATCTTCATGAAATTTGGTACATGTGTTTTATGCATCAAGGTGCATTTTCTGATGTACAAACATTTTCATTTTCTCAACCAGTGGCACCGTTACGGGAATATTATTGTTTTATATTTCAATTGGAAGTGAATAATTTCAAATTTTATGCAATGTCATAAGAGGCTATTTAATTATGTACAAAAAAGATCCTCTTGTTGATACTCGATAGAACGCTTCGTTTTCGAGAAAAAACGGAAAAACGAGACCAGACTTTTGATATCTGAGTACTCCATTCTAGGACAACCATAACTGGATAACCACGGTATGTGTAACATTTTGAAATTTGTATACCGATTCAGTCACATAGCAGACTGAATTTTGCCATCCCGAAAAGCTATACAGGGTGGACAAATAAATAATCTATGCATATTTTCAACATTGACACCCTGTATCTCAAAAGTTAGGACGTTTACCACATACGTTCATATGAAGTTTTATTCTTGAAATGGGTCGAGGAATCGGCCCCTTGAATATTAGCATATTATCAAGGAACACCCTGTATAAGAAAAATCCCAACAGTTTGTAATCAATAGCAAAAAATTTGAAGAAACATGAAAAGAAAGAATAAGTGATATTCCTCAGAAATTCAGAACTTCCCGGTAACTCAAAATGAATCCCAAGGGCTTGGTAAAATTCTCCCAGAAGTTGAGGGAATAAAATAAAATGTTGGCATCAAGAATGAAAATAATAAATAAATACTCACCTAAATTACTAGTATGTTCAGTCTGTGTACTAAAATTAAACCGGCCCACCATGGGCCCGAGCCCGCCGCCCTCGTGGATCAGCGCAGGCTCCGTCTTCACCGTCGCCAACCTGTTGCCGTCCGTCACGTGATGCGCGTACCCCATGTCGAGCGTCGACAATTGGTCCATCACGTCCTGGTGCTGCGAGTGGGAGGAGTGGGAGTGGGGTGCGCGTTGCAGGGGCGGCATCTGGTTGTGCTTCTGCTGCTGCTGCTGCGGCACGGCTCGACTGGTGCTGGGGCCCGGATCGAAGTGGTCTTTGGAGGAGAAGGACAGGCTTCTGCATATCTGGAAGACGAGAGAGGGTACTATTTGATCATTACCGAAGGCTGGGCAAATTTCCCAGTGGCTGGGGAATTTTCCCAATTGCTGGGGAATTTTCCCAATTGCTGGGAAATTTTCCCAATGGCTTGGTCAACTTTTCCAGTGGCTGTGACTACTTTTCCAACTGCAGAGGTTACATTTTCAATGGCTGGGAAAACTTACCAACTGCTGGGGTAACTTCCCAACTGTTCGGGTGACTTTCTCAGTAGCTCGGGATTTTTGAAAGTGACTAGAAAATACGATCATTGATTGGGATGGCTTGAATTTTCCAGTGGTCAGGAAAATTCACTAGTGCATATGCAAATATTCCACTACCTCATGGAATTCCCGCCTGCTTTGCAAACAATAATTCCTCGTAGGCTCAAAAAATTACTACTGAAGTGCAAAATATTCAGCTAGGTAGGGCAATCATTTTTTCGAGGCTGGGAAAATTTCCTAGTTGCTGGAACAATCTTGGAGTAACTAGGGGATTTTGTCAGTACTTGCGGGCAATGCCCAGCTGCCTTGGTGGAATTCCTTATAAGTTGGAATCATCCCACTGCCCTGGACAATATTCTCAATACTTTGTGAAATAGTTCCAATAGCTGGGCAACATCCCCTTGGCTGGCGCAATCTCAAGGTAGAATTTTTCAGTGGCCAGAAAAATTGTATAGTGACTAATAAAATTTCCTAATTAGCTATGAAACATTTCTGTCCGTTTTTTTTGTAGAACGTATCTTCTATTGCTGAATTTTGCTTAAAGAATTCACTGTTATCCAAGAAATATTTATTGAATTTTGGTCCTTGGTACAAATTTCTAATAGCTGAAGCAAATATAATCATGTCTGATTACTTCATTGTGGACTAGAAGGCATTGAATTTGAATGAAGATAATTTCAGAAACATCCTGTATTCATTGAACATGTTTAAATAATAAAGCTTTCATGTGACCATGAAACATGAACAGGTCATCCCATTTCAATAGAAGAAACATATTCAAAAGCAATTTTATGACTTCCATGACATTATCTTATCACGATGATGAATAGTTAGTTCAAAGAATGCATTTGTTGAATATATTTTTACCAGTGATAATGAATCTGTGTTGTGGAATTCTTTATTTTCAATTCATGACTCAAAATAACCCACAGTGAATCTATAGAAATATAAAAGATACTTGGAGGTGAGATTACATAAGAGCAACCAGATAATGTCTACCACTTGAGGATGAAACATGTGTTTGGCATTTGGGACTTGCAATACTCCTAGAAATCCACTTGATTAATGTACAACACTTGTCAACACTGGTACATTAACTACTGGTAAATATGTTCTTGAGGTGTATGTGATAATTGATGATTTATAACTCGTCATTGTGCATTCCAGGTCAATAATTTGACTGTAAAATGCACACAAAAACTTGTTGAGAAGCATATAAGCATTATGAAATAGCAAGAGAAATGGAGGAATAAAAAAATCAATCATTCTGTTCTGAATGAATGAATGAGTCCAAAAAGGAAGTAATTATTGAGAAAAAAATATTCTATAATTATACTGGTGAATTGGAAAACATGTTTTTAGGTTTTTTCCTTGAAGAAGGCATCCATGAGGGTAGTTCAAAGACCTTTGTGCAGGTGTTAGTACTTTACACATTACACATTTTAAATGATGTCTCAGGTGCTTTCATAATATATTTATATATTTCAATATATTTCAACTATATGCAGACCAATTATTATAAATCAAATTATGAAAGACTATTAAAAATTGGTTTTCTTGCAAACAAACGTTATCGCAAATAATGATTCATTGAATTTGCTTCAGTCACCATACATTTTGCTGAGTATTTTTACTATTTAGTAATGAACAAATAATCGAGAAGATGTTTAATCTGGATTGGAAATATATATATCAGCTTGATTATGTGTTCTCTCATTCTGACGATAGTGACGATCTCTTATTCGCCATACCAACTACTCATGTATTTACTCTAAATAAATTTTAAGGATATGACTGTATTAACTCATGTATCTTCGAAGGAAAAGTAGTCATGTTTGTGGCCATCGTGAACCATCCGAAGAAGTTTTTATCTCGAATTTCAATGAAACAACCTGTTGAATACGGCAGTATCGTCTCGTTTATTTTCGATGGGAAGGTGGTCATGTGACCCTTCATTTTGAAGGTATTTTTGTTGACTATTCGAAAATGTGTCAATCACAAATTTCAAAAAACAACTTGTTGAATATGGCAGTATCAACTCGTGTATTTTTTATGGAAAGGTGATCATGTGACCACTCATTTTAAAGGAATTTTCGACAGCTATTCGAAAACGTGTCAATAACAAATTTCAAAAAACATCTTGTTGAATATGGCAGTATCAACTCGTGTATTTTTTATGGAAAGGTGGTCATGTGACCACTCATTTTGAAGGTCTTTTCGTCGACTATTCGAAAACGTGTTTATAACAAATTTCTAAAAACAACTTGTTGAATATGGCAGTATCAACTCGTGTATTTTTTATAGAAGGGTGGTCATGTGACCACTCATTTTGAAGGTCTTTTCGTCGACTATTCGAAGACGTGTCAATAACAAATTTCAAAAAACAACTTGTGGAATATGGCAGTATCAACTCGTGTATTTTTCATGAAAAGGTGGTCATGTGACCACTCATTTTGGAGGTATTTTCGTCGACTATTCGAAAACGAGTCAATCATAAAGTTCAAAAAACAACCTGTTGAATAAGTCAGTATCAACTCTTTTGTTTTCGATCGAAAGGTGATCATGTGACCCCTCATATCAAAGGTCTCTCGACTGTCTGTCCCGATCCACAACGCAAATTCACCTGCGAGGAGATGGGCCTGCGCGGCGGCGGCGGTATCGGACTGTCTAGCAGAGGCACTGGCGGCGTGGTGGTGATATCGAAGAGCCCCGGGCTGAGCTTGATGTCGCGCAGCAGCGAATCCATCGGCGGCACCGGCTTCGGCTTGGGCGGCGGTGGCGGAGGCGGCACGTGCTCCGGACAGAGGAACACCTTATGGAAAAAATATTCGAAATGAGAATCCTGGATTCCTTCTCTGAGAATAAAATACTGAGAAAACAACAATTTGGAATTCAAAGCGAAAGAGGTAGGTACTGACGATGCAATATTTGCATTTTTGCGACAGTTTTCTGCGGTTTGTTGAAAGCTTTTGATTACGTGAGTTGCAGAATTCTGCTGTGTAAACTGGAATACTAAGAAACTTGGTACAGATCTACTTCAGAGGATACGGAAAAAAGTGGACGCCGCTTTGCTCCAAAATACAATACCCCTTCTTTCTCCCCCTCCACATTAAAAAAAATCGTCCAGATCGGTCTATAAATCTATGAGGGTGGACCACTTTCAAATAGGTCACTATGTATAAAGGGTGTAATTTAATTGATGATTAAAAATTTAGAATATAGCTCCTTAGCTCATTTCAAGATGATATGTTCATATGAATATATGCCCTTTCTTAACTTTGGTGTGGCATTTGAAAATAAATCGCTTTTTTATCAGAACTTCATTACTGGTGTAGATATTTTCATGAAATTTTACATGCATCTGCCAAGTATCAATAGGCATTTTTTGATGCAGGAGATTTTTCAATATTTCTACCAGTGGCGTCCGTATACGGGAGTTTTTTCTGGAAAAATATTGTACGCCATTGCTATCTCCAAAACTAGAAATCATCTTTGGATTCCTCAACAATTTGACTTCCTGAAATTTTCCCGTCTGAAGCACCGTTTTCGCCTAAAAAAATAAAAACCATTTCCATGAATTTGTGGTATATCATATAAAAATCTCTAGTATACATCCCATAGGAACGCCACTGGTAGAAATATTAAAAAATCTTCTGTATCAAAAGATGCCTATTGGTGCTTAGTAGGTGCATGTCAAATTCCATGGAAATATCTGGAATAGTATTGAAGTTATGAGGAGAAAACAAATTTTTCTCGAAATTTCAACACCCTATACCTTGAAAGTTAAGAGGTTTAGGACATTTGTTTATTCCATCTTTTTTTCTCAAAATGAGCTATATTTTTAGCCATCAATTAAATTATTCATTCATTTATTCATTTATTTGAAAAGATTACAAACAGATTTAAAAAACAATTACACATAATTTTTTTTATAAATACCTACATAACTAAATGTGTGACTGAAAAGAAATGAAAAAACATTTTCAAACAAGTAGAAATAGATGTATATTGAGTGAATGAAGCTTAAAAATACGATTAAAGGGATATTATGTTCTGAATTCCACCATTATTGCTTGGCGCCAGGGTCGATAGAATATGGTGTAATCACAGTGTTTTGTTTCTCCCAAAACGCTTGACCGCAGACTCCGCAATAATGGCATATTAGTTTCTTTGATGACAGAAAACAGAAAACGGCGCCTACAAATCAAATGAGATTGAATTTGAAAGTACGAAACTGTAATTTTGAGGAATTTCAATCATCTTCCGTTCTACCAACCTTGAATTTTGGTTGATATTTCGCCATCTAACGGGTAAAATGCGACCTATATTCCGCGATATTGAGAAGAAGCCTTCTCTCAAGTAGGCCGTAAGTCAAGAACTTTGACTGAAAAACAGTAGATGGGATTTGATAGGAGTTTCTACACCATCTTCTGTTCCTGCTTGGCGTATAGAATTCTTGAATGAAGCAAGATTCATATCAAAGAGATCAATGTTTACTAATCTTTCCGAGAACTCAATATATAAAGCGCACATATTGTCAATTAAATTAAGAGTCTTGTTTACATGAAATAAGATGTATTATAATATATACCTCGATCTCGCCGTGGTCGCTCTTCATCTGGATGTTGTACTTGTCCTGGAGGCGGCCGGCGGTGGTCGGTACGGAGAGTTGCGTATGCGGCGGCGCTTTGATCGCCATGACAGTCTTGTGACGAAAGGCGTCGATCGAGCGCAGGTCCTGATAAGTCACGTAGCCGTACCTGTATTACAGAGGTATGGCGTGCATGAGATTCATCGTTTTCTCACGGACATGATAAGTTACTTTTTGTCAAGAGTCAAAATATTGTATCTATTTGGAAGTCATTGAATATCGTTTTATTGAAGGCTTTGGTTGTGTTTTTGAGCTTTCCACCCATTAGTCGAGAATCTTTAGCATGTTTGGAAGTCATTGAATGTAATTTCATTGAAGGCTTTGGTTGTCTTTTTGAATTGTCCAATCATTGGGAATCTCTAGGATGTTTAGAAGTCATTGAATGTCATTTTGTTGAAGGCTTTGGTTGTGTTTTTGAGCTTTCCAGTCATTGGCCGGGAATCTTTAGCATGTTTGGAAGTCATTGAATGTAATTTTGTTGAAGGCTTTGGTTGTCTTTTTGAGATTTCCAATCATTGGGAATCTCTAGGATGTTTGGAATTCATTGAATGTCATTTTGTTGAAGGCTTTGGTTGTGTTTTTGAGCTTTCCATTCATTGGCCGGGAATCTTTATCATTCGGAATTTTCAGTATGTTTGGAAGTCATTGAATGTCATTTTGCTGAAGGATTTGATTGTTTTTGTGGGTTTTCCAGTCATTGGAAATGTTCAAGATGTTTGGAAGTCTATGAATGTCATTTTGTTGAAGGTTTCAATTGTTTTTGTGAGTTTTCCAGTTATTGGGAATTTTCAGGATGTTTGGAAGTCATTAAATGGCATTATGTTGAAGGCTTTGATTGTTTTTGTGGGTTTTCCAGTCATTGGAAAGCTTCAAGATGTTTGGAAGTCTTTAAATGTTATTTTGTTGAAGGATTCAATTGTTTATGTGAGTTTTCCAGTCATTGGGAATTTTCAGAATGTTTGATAGTCTTTGAATTTCATTTTGTTGAAGGCTTTGATTGTTTTTCTATGTTTTCAGTGATTGGGAATCTACAGTGTCATTCATAAAGTCGGCATCATGTTGGAAAAACTTTTATTAATGACTTATTTTGGAATTCGAGTTGGACGTTGAGTTTTGCTTCAAAAAATATGGAAAATGGCCTTCTCAATCGGGGTCACGTGACTGTCGCTACATGTCGAAAGTGACATTTTTTCAAATTAATCGCTGAAAGTAGGGTTATTTGTTCGAATATCGGAAAAGTTTACTTGAAAAAGTTGTTTCTATTTCAATTTTACGCATGATTCTCGAATTTGATCGCTCTATTGCAACTTTTAGATTTTGATTTTTTTTTCAAATTTTGAGAAATTTCTGTAATATTTGAAGAATTGTTGATTCCTCGAAATTACTTCATACCAGTAGCTTTTTCATGCTACTCACTTTAAATTACTTATTATCACTGATTATGGACAGAAATATGATTTTCTTCATAAAATGATAATACCCGCTTCCAAATTCTGTTATGTTTGATGCAAAGTTGATAAATTGTCAAGCATTTAGAAACGACATTCATTTAAACTGATCTTTTCAGTACTGAAAAAATAAATTTAAATGAATTTGTTTCTAAATGCTGGACTCAAACATAACAGAATTCTGATGTTATGTTTGCATCAAACATAACAGAACTTTGAAGCGGAGATTATCATTTTCTGAAGAAAATCATATTTTTGTCGATAATTAGTGATAATTAGTAATTGAAAGTTAGTAGCATGATGAAGCTACTGGTATGAAGTAGTTTTATCGAATTTACAATTTTTTTAATATTACAGAAATTTCGAGAATTTAAAAAAAATATCGAAATCTAAAAAATGTAATAGAAAGATGAAATCCGAGTCACATATGTAAAATTCAAATAGAAACAACTCTTTCAAGTAAACTTTTTCGATATTCGAACAAATAAGCCTACTTTCAGCGATTAATTTGAAAAAATGTCACTTTTGATATGTAGCGAAAGTCACGTGACCCCGATTGAGTAGGCCATATTTCATCTTTTTTGAAGCAGAACTTAACGTCCAACTCGAATTTCAAAATAAGTCATTAAAAAAAGTTTTTCCCATATGATGCCGACTTTATGAATGACACTGTATAGGATGTTTGGAAGTCATATTAAATGTAATTTTTTTTGCGTTTTTCAGTCATCGGGAATTTTTAGGATATTTAGAAGTCTTTGAATGTCATTTTGTTTAAGGCTTGTATTTTTTAGTATTCCAGTCATTGGGAATCTTTGGGATATTTGAAAGACAATGAAAGTTTAAAAATTTCCGAGTGAAACTGGTAGTTACTTCATGTCTCTGGGAATTATTTGATCTCATTGGAAGTGTTTGTATGTCTTTGGACGTCATTCAATGTCTTCGAGAATCATTGAATTACATTTGTAACATTCATGAATATCATGGTAACATTTGGATTTCCTACCAATAATATGATGAATTATCATCGGTCATACCCGTCACTGTTCAGTTTCCTGAGCTCGCTCTCGGCCGACCCGATCATCCTGTCCAAGCCGTTCTCCAGATCGTCGAGATTCCTCAGCTGTTTGCTCAACGCCACGTACCGCCCGTTCTGCGACCGGCACCCCTTCCACTGTATGTTGTTCTTGGACTTCTTCTCCAGAATGCCGATGCCCTCCAGCACGTTGGTGATGTCGTAGATGCGTCGCTTTTGGACGCCGAGCTCCTGCGACGCTCGGTTGAGGTCGACGACGCCGTTCGGAGAGCGCTCGATCAGGTCGGAGAATTTTTTCGTTAGGAGGCTCAGGGACGTGTCGTACCTGAGCAAAATCCAAAATCTTTTTATGCGAGTTTTTGGATGATGAGGCATCTCCGGACGCTATAAACACTTGGAAATTGGCCTCCACTACATGCACTGGATGGTATTAGTTAGATGAGGTTTGGACACAGAAATGACAACAGTGTTTTTGAATGTTCACATTCATTATGTTACACACCTTGCATTCAGACTCGTATTTTCAACACCCTTTATCTCGAAAACGATGACTTCAAAGGTATATGTTTATATGAACTTTTCTATTATTACAAGGAGTACAACACACTGTTGAATTTTTTGTATTACAAAAAGGACCACCCAGTACAGTCCAAGATCCGGCTGCAAATTTCGACCATCATCTGATAACGAAATGATATACAGGGTGTTGCGAAATTCGACCGACAACGCTTGACAGGTGATAGCCCTCGTGATTTCATAATCACTAAGATAGGGACATACCGTCTTTAAGTGTTCAGTTCTCGAGATACAGGGCGGTAAAGTTAAGAAATAAATATAGTTGTTTCGCAATATCTCAAGAATAATTGAATTTAATGCATTCAACTTTCGTATATGATTTCATCTTTGAATCGGTCATTTTTTGACCAGGAAGCTGTTCCGGACATTTTATCCAGTGGTGCCCTATAAGGGGTTGTGGCAACTTTTCCTCCCATATTTTCTACGCCACTGATTTCTATTATTTCCAATTCCTCGAATTCATTGCTCAATTTTGTTCAGAAAATGCATCACCTTCAACTGAGCTTGAATGAACAGTTTTCGAGATATTCGACCCAAAATAGAAGATTGCATAGTAATATTTCATCATTTTCAGTAATTGAAAATTGCAAGAATATTTTTCTGGTGTTGAGTAGATTAGATAGTATTCAGATCTCATTCTATAGCTAAACAGAAATAGTTATTCCACGCATAAAGGGAAAACAAACTCTTTTGTAATTTCCTACTACTGAGGAAGATGAAAAATTACTATGCAAACTTCTATTTTGGGTCAAATATCTCGATAACTGTTCATTTTAGCTCAGTTGAAGGTGATGCATTTTTTCAACATAATTGAACAATCAATTCGAGAAATTGGAAATAATTGGAAATTCATCAGTGGCGTAGAAAATATGGAAGGAAAAGTTATCACAACCCTCTGTAGTGCACCTCTGGATAAAATTATCGGAATGTCTTTCTGGTCAAAAAATTAACCATTGAAAGATGAAACCATATACCGAATTTGAATGCATTATATTCAAATTTTCTAGAGATATTGCGAAAAAACCATTTCAATTTCTCAACTTCAACGCCCTGTATCTCGAGAACTGAACACTTGAACACTCGTAGTGACTAATTGATACTTTTTTCCAGTAAATTTTCTGTGTAGCTTCTGCATGGATAATTTCTTGCGTCCTGTCTCTAGATGCCACTATTCGGATAGTATTGAATTTATGCAGCACAAACGTCGCATCTTCGATGTTTTATAATAAAGAAATAAATCGCGGTTTCAGGGAAGTACCGAAATAGTTTTCAAGGGATTCGAAATAAAAATCGGGATATCGAAATTTCTGTGACACCATTTGAAATTGCGACTTCCTGAGCGTGCCCAAAAATATTTTTCAAGGTCTGGAATGTAAAAACTACGGGAAAACATCCTTACTCCTAGAGTAGATGGAAAAGTAAGAACTGTTTTCCCGTAGTTCTCAATGTCATCGGAACGTCATCTAATGACCTTGACGACCGCGATTTCAGGGGCGTGCCCAATATTTTCTTGAAGGTGATTAAAATCCAATGACATTTCGAAGTTTCGTCGATGTTGATAGAGACAAGAAATAACGGATTCAGGGGCGTACCTAAATATTTTTCAAGGGGGTCGAAATTGAAAAATCGGAGTATCGAAATTTCCTCGGTAATTTCCGCGACGTCATCATCCAACATTGTGACTCCATGAGTGTGCGAATTGGTGGTTGAAAATCGCAACTTCAGGGGCGTACCTGAATATTTTTCAAGGGGGTAGAAATAAAAAAAATCGGAGTATCGAAATTTCATCCAACATTGTGACCATGAGCGTACCGAATTTTTTTCCAAAGGGTTCTAAAATTGTAAAAATAAAAATTTCGAAATTAAATCGCATACCTGGTGTTCTTCTTGGTCTGCGCCTGCCGTTTCGGCTTCTTGGGCTGCGGCTGCTTGAACTCGTGCTGGTGCCCCAGCGGCACGACGAACCGGTGCGATTCGAGGTTGAGCTTGCGCTTGACAGGAGGCGCCTGCGCAGGCGTCGAATACACTATCTGGCTGAGCGGCGTCGCTCCGTAGCCGTGGTCCAACAGGTGGGGGCTCGGCGTGAACTCCGACTGCTAGAGGGGGAGGGGGGGGGGGTGAAAATCGGGAGGGAAAAGTCGTCAGTTTTTTTTCGACTGTCCGGAAAGTAGGGATCGACCGATAATCGGCCGATATTGAAAGCCGATTGATCGATACATTTATTTTCATTTACGAAGTAACTGCATCTGTTTTCACTCATTTTCAGACGATATTCCACTGATGGATGGTTCTTCAACAAACGATATTTCATATTGGACGTGTTGGCCGATTTTCCTTTGCCACCCAATGAAATATCGTTTTTTTTTCAATATATTTTTTGAAATATTGCCATAGAGTAATAATAATAATTCCACCACTGAGTTTACTTTAAATACATCTCATTATATTCAAATCAGTTGAACAATTCATCATCTCTGTAAATGAAGCACAAATTCAAATTAACATGACATGGCAGAAGACAAATGCAAGTTAGAGAAATTTCCAAGTCAGGCAGTAGAAATCACGGCGGAAAGAAACGAACGGCCGATATTTGAAAAATTGGTATCAGCTGATTTCTCTATATCGGTCGATCCCTACGTATGTGTTTCGCGAGAAAAATTAAGAATGCATGTAATTTTTTTAAATTATTGATCTAAAGTATGCGGTAATGGCGAATAAATAAGTTGGATGTGGTGATAATGGTGAAGATAAATCGTGAATACACTATTTCTATTATTTCAGTATCAGCTGGACTCAGAATGTCCTGTATTGATTGGACAGTGCATTCCATTTTCCTTTCCTACATTCATGTAGAACTTAAGATGGCTTAATCCCAGTTTGCATAACTTTTTCCGTTTATGATATACATGGCGATTTTGAACATTTATATTTTTTGGCTCTGTTTGGGCCAGTGATAATAATACCGCACTGACAATGAGAGCAAACCCCATAAAAAGCAAGAATTGTACTTCTATTCAAATGAAAATACCTTAGTGTAATGAACATTATTAAGCAGTAACCTAATAACAAGAAGTATTTATACGTAATACAACGCAAAAAACTTTGAACGCTATAAAAATCTGTATGGTTGCTCATATTTCGATTTTCCCACATTTCAATAGGCTCACTTTTCGATAAACTCGTAGCCTCCGAACATACCCGAAGGATGCACTGTTGCCAAATGTAGGTGTAATACAATGTGCCTATAGGCCACAATGGCTGGTGTTTAGCTATATCATTCCCTTTTAGGGCTCTCTCAATTCCGAAGACTTAATATAAGTAAGCAAGATATCCTTCCTGCAAAAGGAAGGAGACTACTTCTAAACAATCTAACCTAACTCGGCCTAAATGGTCCTTCTTCCTAGAAATTATATTATTCAACATCAATTAAATTTGGCAACAAGGCATTGTTCGCGTGTGTTCAAAGACTATGGATGAATCAAAATGTGGGCCTGAAGAAAGGTGGGTGAATCGAAATGTGGGCAAATGAAAATGTCGGCGAATCTAAATCTGGGCCTAACGAGATGTTCTCATCTGTATTGGACAACCAGTACATGTAGTCTCTTTTCCAATTGATAATATCAGCAATTGGATTTTTTCTTGACACTATATTTCCTGCGCGGCGGTACATCGTGATGAATATTGCAAAATGACTGTCATTTTTTTCAATAGCTTGGCACGCGGAGCATAGTGGCATTGAAGAGTTTTTTGAAAATTGAAATGAATGAATAAAGCAATATTTCTCTGTACATTACCAGGAAGTGAAAGTAAGATGTACCTTATTTTTTCTATAACTGTATCCTTCATGGATCAAAATAGCACCGCCTTTTCCTGACCAAGAAACTTAACAATTCGTTTTGACGTTTTGCGCTATTTTGTCCCGCGCCATTTTGTCGCCCGCTATTTTGTCCCACGCCATTTTGTTGCCCTCCATTTTGCCGAGCGCTGTTTGATAACAGAGCCATATTTTTTTGGATCCTTCTATATCTACGAAGCTATTAGAGATAATGTTGCGCTAAGATCTCCAAAACCATGCCCTGAAATAAAAATTGAGTGAGCTACTGGATTCTGCGCAAAATTATCTATTTAACGCAACATTATCTCTAATAACTTCGTAGGTATAGAAGGTGTTCAAAAAGTATAAATCTTCAACCTCATGAACGGAAACAGTTATGCAAAATCTGATAAGACCATCATGAGTTATACAAAAAAGTGGGACAGCAACGTGAAAACCGCAATGCTCTATCTTCAATAACAAAACAGGCAATCTCAACGGAAATGGAATACACTCTACAAACCCGTCAAAATTAGAAGAAAACACATGAATAATTATTGATTATATAAAAAATAATAATGATAATACTACCTTGACAATAGCCATGTCAGGAGTGTGTGGAGGGCGGTAAACACCCCTGGAGCCCTGCTCTTGGTGCAGAGCTCCACGCTGCATGTTGCTCATGTTTATTTTAAAGGGCTGTTATTTGAGTTTCATTTTTTTGCTGCTTGTTACTGTGTCCTGCTGTCTGTTGTTGACATCTAAGACTGAAGAAAGATACATTATTGAAAGTGTATTATAGTATAGAGGAACTCCTATAACTATAAGGAAACCTTGAGTCCACCTCAACACAAAATCGGTTCATTCAAGATAATGAAAACTGCAAACATGTGGGTGAATTTCAGATAAGTATATTATGTTTTATCATCTACCTACTTTAGCTACAATTTGACATTCAGAGAATTTGCAGGCATTTTCCCTCGCATTTTCCTTATTTTCAATCAATATTTCAAATTATGTAACATGACTCAGATTTTATTTTCGTTTGGTAAATTCTACCCTGTACATTTTGATGATTGCTCATATTTTTTGAGCCACCCTGTATAATATTATGCAAAATTACCATTCCACGGTATCCCAGAATACCGAAGTCAAAGTTTACTATGAATATTTGATATTGTGTAATAATTATTATACAGTGTGTCCCACTTACCATGCTCACCATGGGTATATTTTTAACGGTGAGAGATACGAGGTCGGTTAAATGACACCAAATGTGGAGTTTGTCAAGGCCAACTATAATAAGAAAAAATATTTTGATAAAATCTATTCGTTTTTGTTTTATACGCAAAAAACAGATTTTGACTCGGATTTTGATCATTTTCATGTCTCCTCCGTAACTTCTCTATTTATGAAAATATTCAAATAGGAATTTCACATTCTCATGGCAGTTTTTCAGTGATTTCGAAAAAAATATGAAATTCATACCAACTCTTCTAGAATTTGAGATATCGGCACCAACTTTAGTTTTTCAAATGTAGGTCATAGCTCACTATGACTTAGTTACAAATAACTTTTTTTTTCTCTTACAGATGATAATTATGTCGCAGTAATAGTTTTGTGTTGATAACAACGGAGTTATCGTCATTTATACAAATCAAAAAATTGAATTCACCAATTTTGAATGGAATCGGACCAAATCTTGTCCGCCATCTTGGAGCAGCCATTTTTTTTAATTTCAACAAAAATTCCATAATGTATTGTCATCAAAATTGGTAAGTGGGGGTTTTTGAGGTCGGAGATCATGATTTTTTTGTTGAAATTTATAAATTTAAGATGGCGGCTTCCAAATAATGTTTTGTTTTTGTATAAATGACGATAACTCTGTTGTTATCAACACAAAACTATTACTGCGACATATCATCTGTAAGAGAAAAAAAAATTATTTGTAACTAAGTCATAGTGAGATATGATCTACATTTGAAAAACTTAATTTGGTGCTAATATCTCAAATTCTAGAAGAGTTGGTATAAATTTCATATTTTTCTCGATATCACTTTGAAAAACTGCCATGAGAATGTGAAATTCCTATTTGAATATTTTCATAAATAAAGAAGTTACGGAGGAGACATGAAAATGATCAAAATCTGTTTTTTGTGTATAAAACAAAAACGAAGATTTTATCAAAATATTTTTTCACATTATAGTTGGCCTTGACAAACTCCACATTTGGTGTCATTTAACCGACCTCGTATCTCTCACCGTTAAAAAGATACCCATGGTGAGCATGGTAAGTGGGACACACTGTATATCACAATCTACAGAAAACATTTCATACAAACAATTGAAAAATGAAATTTTTTACCCTTTTTGTGTTTGCCGCACGTGTTTCCTTGGCACATCTACTACAAAATTGAACATGTGTTGGTTGACGAACATTAAACACAGTTGAGGTTATGTTTGTCCATGTTTATTTATCTAGTTATTTATCTTGTTTCTCGAGCACCATGTTATATGATTATTGCTTGAGTTATGGATAGTGAGTGAGCTTATGCTCAGTTATAATTATCTGAAGAACACCTAAATCCACTATATGAGTAAATATATATCATATGAAAAAAAAAACTGGAACAATAATAAATGCAATAATAACAGTGCATTGAAACCTGACACTGAAATTTGAATTTGACATTAGGTTTGGACATTTAAAATGTCATACCCTCATACCCATTCATTGTTTTGTCTACCTAACAATCAAATATATAGGTATGTGTCCTACTTGTATTATTTTCGGTTTTCATTTTATGAATGATGAAATTCCAGTTACTAAGAATTCCGTAAATGTATTTCACCAAATCAAGCATTACATACCTACCGACTACCTATTTTGGTATTCTGATTGGAGTAACCCCGTTTTTTATATCCCTTTTTTGTTTACCAGCAAGTTCGTTGACCTTAATTTTAATATTGGATGGAAAAGTCATGCATATATAAAACAAATCATCATAACCACCTAGTCCCTATTGTGAAAACAACGGAAATTCTAAATGTAGGTACCTACTGTGCCTAGGTATAGGGTGGTATAGGTATAACCGTCTTTATGAACCTAACTGAAAATCAATAATAAAATATAGGTAGGTTGGTAGGCAGGTAATTGTGGCCAATCATGGCCAATCAAACACTCCAAACAGAAGGCCATGAGCATAACAGACTTTTGTTTGACAGTTTAGTTTGACAGAAGTTAAAAGTAAACATCTTGATAAGAGTGAATTGCCAACAGGTGAGGTTGGCAAGTTTTTTTTTTCTGTTCCTTCAGGAAATATGAAATATTCTGATGATCAAGGTAGGTATGTAGGTAATTTTTAAATTTCTAAAGATGCACATAGGTATCTGGATTATTGCTATTCTGAAATATTTGGCCAGTCATCACCTTCTTGATCACCCCCCACTAGGAATTTCCTTTCGTGATTCGTGCGCTCCAAGAGATAAAAGAAGTGGATATTATATAATAATGTATGGTATGCTAACATATTCTTTATTAAACGTCCGATTGTATTGTTTCTTTTTTCTTTCAAGCAACGCAGGACCTATATAATCAAAATTATTAAATTACTGTATAACACATAGGTACATCCATTCGGATTGTACCGAGGATTGTACCAATATGCACACTTAATATTGCCACAGAATAGGTAATAGTTAGGTGGAAATTTTTGCAAAAATGTATGAAAAACACGTAGCGATAGCGGTGACGGCATCTTCACTTGTCAAAAAGGTAATGAAACAGAGCCTACGTAGGTAGAGATTTTCCGAAAAAAAACGAGAAAAAAGTAACTGGGAGTGAACTGATAGAAGGCCCTGTAGGGCATCCAAACCAACTCCGGGTTAAAAGGTCCGAAAAACTGTTGAGAGAGAATGAATAAAGAATGTGACGGGGCGGTTTAAAAACCGTTGGTATGCAAGCTGGGGGAGGGTCTAGGTCAGGGCGGAATGTAACGGAAAGAAAGCTTCTGAGACGATTCGAATGATCGATAAATAATTTGGAACCCCATGGCGGGGTGCCTAGCGAAGAAAAAACAGCAAAATCGCGTTCGCCGATATCTATGTGGCATTCAAAATAACTCTTACCCAGCCCTTGCACCGCCATACTGTTACTAAATTTGTCGGGCGATTCGAGAACAATCGCTGATAGGCACTCACCTTTTTTTCATTCTCCGACTACTAGGATGGCCTGCACTAGCTTTCCGTATTCGTTTAAGCAGTTTTGGTCGAACGGTGACGGCCAAAAACTACATGATCCGGGATACCAAACAAGATGGTTTCCCGATGGCGATGCTCGACCGTCACGAATGTTGCCTTCGGATCGCAGGCTCGTCCGGCATGGGGGCTAACTGGAAAACTTGCTTTTCTTCGCAATCATATTGACCGAGAAGCGCCCTTTCGCGTGGTACCGCTTTCGAGGGGGTGCGATTTGACGGGGGCCCGGAAAAAAATCGCGAAGTTCCACACGAAACGATCTCGGCGTGCTACGATTCGAAGATGGTTACAAAACATCTGCCATCTGTACCGGGCATTGGCGCGAATGTGTGCGCGTGCGCATATCGGGAAGAAGGGTGACGTTGCCGGATGTATTAGGTTGTCTTTGATTTAGGTACTTGTTTGGATTGCATAATTTCCGATCGTTTTCGAAGCATTCTCTGATGGTTGGTTGAAGTTATCTTTTTTCTGAATATTCGACCAAGTGATTATGATTGCGATATATATTTCCGAATGAATTCATGGAGATGGGGTCATTGATGGGGTTTCAGAACACTTTGAAAACAAAAAAAAACAAAACAGGTTCAGGTAGAGACCTTCCTTAGCCATTAATCAATGGCTTTGACTATAATTGCACCACGTTATACCTAGACCTACCTAAACATGATAACTATGAAAGCATTTCGTCATATTTTTCTCCGATAACAATAAAGTATGTTGTACACATTTTTTTAAAACTCTATTTCATTTTGGATACCTATGTATTTTCTTTCTAGGGTAGATGTAGATTACTGATATTAACGAAAATATATGTAGAAATAAATGTTAAAGGACCTCATGGTAACCTGATAATTGATGCTCTACTATTCAAGCCCAAAGAAGAAGAGTAAGCGTTTGCTCCCTCATTAGGACACAAACCTGTTAATTCACTCCCACGGGAGAAAACAAAATATCATCACCTCCAATGGGAGGTAAAATAAATTGGCTTTAGCTGGCTTCCTTCCTTCTGTATGCATCTAAGATCTGTGCTACCCAAGTACCTATAATCAGTGTCTCAAATATCATACAACTATTTTTTTGAACTTCAATGATCTCATACGCTTCCTTTATTCCAAACTAACTCAATTGAAACTCTGAAATGCAATCACACCAATATGACAGAAGTTTCAAATTGAATTTCTTTCAGATTCAAATACTGTCAACTGTCCATGGCATACTACACTTTTAAAGCACATTGATTTGGATCGATTTTCGAGAGATAGACCGCCTGAAGCATAATTTCAAAAACGACACTCTCAAATATATGCGTTCGTGCGTAAAATCATATATATTTCTTGGGAGCCAATGTTCATTTCCTCTCAAACTTCGTTCTCGTGGGAAATGTCTATCATTCCGTGTTCGTTAAACAATATATACTATTTTTTTCACAACTAGCTATGAAACCTACCATTATTTACTCCTTCTCGAGGCGTAAAGAGTGTTTTCGTCATTTTCACTAGCCACCTCTGTTGAAATTATCCCGAATATACTGTTCTCAACCGATATTCGTAGGAATGGCACTCGCTGGTAGGTATTTATCAATAACCACTTGTCATATGCTGTCGTCATGGCTAATTGAAAATATTGATTATATTGAAAATAAGTGCTTTCATTGGACCATATTTCGGTTTCACAGAACTAATATGATTGAAATATATTGCTTGTGGTGAGAAAAATTTGATATAAACCTTGGTAGTAAAGAATAGTATTACCACGGGACGCTTTCGAAAAATTTCAAATTCACTACTTCAAAAAATAACCTTAAAACAAAAGAAACCATATGGCGATTGAAACTCACTGTTGTTGTTACTAACTATATTAACTGGCTTAGTAAACTTGACAAAGGTTGTCAATAATAGAGCATGTAAGTATACCGGGTGATTTTTCAAGTTGGCTCACCCCTATAACTTTTTTTATTATTGGAGACAGTTTGGATTATAGTTCAATCGACACTTTTTGACATATCTACTTGCTTTGGCGTGCTTCCGGTTTGTCCGGAAATGATCTCAACTTTCGATTTTCAAATGGGACATCCTGTATTTTATTCCATAATCGGCTAGGAATGATCGTAACGAATTTAACTATACCGAGATCGATAGGGTTATTTCAAACGATTTCGCGTTCTAGGTTTTCATATATGCTCAATGAGTGTGACAATGAAAGGAGTTTCGATATTGCGCCGTCACACACATTGGTCATATGGAAACTGCGGCTGAAGCGTCGGGATATAATCTTGGTCCCTGCGTAATAATGATATTCTTTACTACGACACCATGGAGTATAAATAACTATATTAATCCTAGAAACTAAAAATGTGGAAAATCAATTATGCGGCTTTTACTCATTCATAGCTCACTTCACAAAGGCATAATTTGTTTGTCAATACCAATACAGAGTGCCTCTTATTTCAATTTTGATAAAACAATGTTCTATTCTCAAAATGTCTGAGCTGTCTTATTTTCAATGTTCGTAAAATATTCATAAGGGTTATTTTTTCATTAGTTTATTCAAGTTTGATGAATACATTTTGTCACAGAAAATGTTACAACAGTATTAAAAATCGTCGTTCATTATCGTTTCATATCTTTTGTGAACATTTTAAGAATATATGGTGAGTTATTTTTCTAGCTCACTAAAAAAATGTCAATCTTTTGTTTTGCTGTATGAAGTAATTATTTTTTTCAAGACATTATTTAATATGTCGAATTTGGTAGGTGCTCACATGTTGTGTGTGAGACCGAAAATGTTTCAAATTAGAAAATCGAATTGTTCCGACTTTTGTAAACCACTCCGATACTCAAAATAATGTGCTCTATTTGAAAAACTACATTTTCAAACTATATATTCTTTTGGATCAATGGGAGACACATAATACATATTAAAAGGATATGAATAAGTGGTCAGTTCGTTATGAGTTTCAAAAAAGGAGAAAAACGATTGGAAAGGAACAATAATCGCGTTGCCATATCCGAAACACTTCGATATGAAGTTAATTTACTGCCTAGTGATGAGTTGATGCGGCAACCGCGCAATCTCTATATAATCCTTGGAAAAAGAGATTTCCTTACCTTTCCTTTCCCTTTCGACTTCTTATGAATAGTCCACGAACAAAGGATCCCGAATTTCAATCGAGCCCGATGGAAACCGTCCGATTTCCGCCTATTTTGTTTCAGGAAAGCTAGATTTCCCGACCGATTTGACAGTTCACAGGGGACATCAAATGTAAACAAATATGGCCGAAGAAGAGGAAACAGTAGGGGGGACAGAGCAATGTGACATATGGCTGGCGGGGGAAGTGGAGCGAAAAATTTCGGTGGCGCTGTTTGACGTTCCATGAAAATTCCGACGTTGTTTTCCTCGTTTTCCATCATCGCACGCTGTTATTTTATATACAGGATGTCTTCGTGATTCTAAGGGCTAGGTGACCATATTTTTGCTTGTTACTGTCATAGGAACTGAATGTTTGTATCAGGAGAGCAGAGGTGTGTATGAGGTAGGTCTCTGATTTTATCCAAGGCAAAATCTGGATGTATGTATCAGGAGAGCAGAAGTGTGTAGGAAGTAAAAAATTTTCTGATTTTATTAATTAGAACCGAAATTTGCTTTCGATCACGAAAATTCCCATTCATGAGGCAAAATCTGGAGAGCAGAAATGTGTAGGAGGTATCTGATTTCATTAATTAGAACCAAAATTTGCTTTCGATCACAAGGCATATAAATCTGAATGTTGGTATCAGGAGTGCAGAATTGTGTACGAGGTATTTGATTAATGAACCGAAATTTTCTTTCGATCACGAATTTCACGATTTTAAGAAAAAAAATCTGGAAGTAGGTATCAGGAGAGCAGAAGTGTGTAGGAGCTTTGGGTATTCAAGAGGTATATATTTTTAATGAGAACAGAAATTTGCTTTCCATCACGAAATTCACGATTTCGAGAAAAAAACTGGATGTAGGTATCAGGAGAGCAGAACTATTGTATGAAAGGAGTTTATCTGATTTGATTGATTAAAACAGAAATTTTCTGATCAACACGAAAACTCCCATTTATGAGGTAAACATCTGAATGTAGATATCAGGAGAGCAGGAGTGTATAAGATATATTAATTGGAAACAAAATTTGCTTTTGATCACGAAAATTTCGATTTCTAAGGCAAAATCTGAATGTAGGTATCAGGAGAGCAGAAGTGTATAGGAGGTATTCAACTTCATTAATAATTGGAAAAAATTTGCTTCCTCCCGATCACGAAAATTTCGATTTCTAAGGCATAATCTGAATGTTGGTATCAGGAGTGCAGAAGTGTATAAGAGGTATTCTCAACTTCATTAATTGGAAACAAAATTTGCTTTTGTTCACGAAAATTTCGATTTCTAAGGCAAAATCTGAATGTAGGTATCAGGAGAGCAGAAGTGCATAGGAGGTATCCGATTTTATTAATTAGAAGCGACATTTCCT